CCTAAAACTTCCGGGTATGAATACATTACACTACAGCTTCGCTACTACATCACTACATCCAACTTTAAGAAAAAAAGTATGCATAGCTGTGATAAAAGATTAAAACATTAAATATCTCTGTAAATAATGAGTATTGACGGAAATGCTTGGACATAGTCAAATTTTTATTATTTTGCTTTAGAACCGACAGACCAAATTTCATTAAAATCGACGACCCAACAGCTGTGACCTCTCCTTGTCAGCAAAGTAGGGGGGAGGGGATGGACAAGGACTCGAGAGCCAGTTAGCTCTGTGCTCCAGATCCAATTCAGAGCGTGAAGAGATTTGAATACATACGGAATAATTGAGCGGCCACAATGACGATTACCAATGTGCAATAATCGTCAATCAAGTATCCGATCATCAGAGTACCGCTAATGGCGCCAATTCTACTGATGAAGGCGGACAAGCCAGATGCCATTGCTCTGAAACAAAATCAGACTCGCTGGAATTTAGCGATTCGTTTCTGCCACGTTACGAAAGAAATACATGCGTAATCAAAAAGAAACGAATCCTGACTGTCTGTTTTGATCAAAGATTCCCGTTACATTGTTATTACAAGCGTAAGACCAGAAAAGAGATAAGTATTTTATCGCTAGTATCGAAAGCAAGAACACTCGAGACGCCGACTCGAGATATGTACATATGTACGTAGATCGATCGTTTCGAGTTTCGTTTCGATTATAAATAAACTGGTTATTCGAGGAAAAAATAAGCTTCTACACTGTGCCGAGATATTTATATACGCGATCGATAAATACGCGAGATAAGCTTTTGTTCGATCGCTTTTTGAAAAGATGCAATCGAATATGTACATACATGTGTTGAATTCGTTTTGTCAGGGCCAATTTTCTTTACGTGCGTTCAATTTAAAAGCGATACAATTCCTCGAGGTGATATTTCAAAACTTGCTAAAACTCTGAGACTCAGTTCTTCGCCGATTCTACGAATTTTAAATATCGCCGCGATATTCGGTCTAATTTATGTTCAAAAAAAAAAAAAAAAAAAAGAAAAAAGTGAAGAGAAAATCCCGAAAAATAACAGAGGAAATTCTTGGAAGCCTTTTCAGCGAATTTCAGACCCGTCTAATGGATAAGACAAGTTCGCAACTTTGATAATTACTCGCGTATTCCTCCATCTAACTCGAGGTTAAATTAAACTGTAATTTGATCCGGCTCGAGGTTCAATTAATTATAATTTATCACAATTTGATCTTCTATTTAAACTCGAAGTTAAATTGAATTATCATTTTTCCACGATTCAAGACCTTTCCTCCAGGTTGCGTCAAGAATTATAACGTAATTCATGATCTCAACACAACGTAGCGATACACTCGACAATACAAAATCAGTAATGGAAAGAATAATTTCATCTTCGTCGAGTAGCAGGAACAAGAAGAAAAAAGGAAAGTAAGAATCGTGCGTTACCTCAAATGCGTCGGATAGAGATCGACCAAAAGGCAATATACGACGCTCAGGCAAACGGAAGTGACAGATTCGTAGACGCACGAAAGTATCAGGTTTTGTGTAGACGTTTGTACCAGGAAGAGGCAAGCCGTCACGACAGCAGGAATGAAAGCTGTTATCACTGAAATGACAGATTAAATTACTTGATATTTAAAAAAAAAGAAAAGAAGAAGAAGAAGAAGAAGAAGAAACAATTCTTGTCGACATTTCGACAGAATTTTAACACTAAAACTACCAAAGTGATCAAAATGATCAATTTATAATTTTTCAAAGTAATTTTGCGGACTTACAGCGTTGCGTGTTTTAGAGATTCGAATAAGTTTTAAACATAAGTATAAAATATATATTTAATAGACGAATTTATATTTAAACACGCGTATAAAATATATATTTAATACACGAATTTATATTTAAACACGCGTATAAAATATATATTTAATACACGAATATATATTTAAACACGCGTATAAAATATATATTTAATACACGAATATATATTTAAACACGCGTATAAAATATATATTTAATACACGAATATATATTTAAACACGCGTATAAAATATATATTTAATACACGAATATATATTTAAACACGCGTATAAAATATATATTTAATACACGAATATATATTTAAACACGCGTATAAAATATATATTTAATACACGAATATATATATTTAAACACGCGCATAAAATATATATTTAATACACGAATATATATTTAAACACGCGTATAAAATATATATTTAATACACGAATTTATATTTAAACACACGTATAAAATATATATTTAATACACGAATATATATTTAAACACACGTATAAAATACATATTTAATACACGAATATATATTTAAACACACGTATAAAATACATATTTAATACACGAATATATATTTAAACACACGTATAAAATACATATTTAATACACGAATATATATTTAAACACACGTATAAAATACATATTTAATACACGAATATATATTTAAACACACGTATAAAATACATATTTAATACACGAATATATATTTAAACACACGTATAAAATATATATTTAATACACGAATTTATATTTAAACATACGTATAAAATACATATTTAATACACGAATATATATATTTAAACATACGTATAAAATATATACGTATAAAAGTTCGTGCTCATTATCGCATTATAAACCTTTTCCTATCCGTTGCATTCTAATTTCTTCGAATCTCTAATTTTTATACTTTAGTCCTAGTCGGTAGTTGTAGTTCTTCCAGTTCTTCCTGCTCTGTTCTCAGTTAATCGATCTTACTCACCGAGGAAAAATTTATATCCAACGTAGTTGACGAGTAATGGCAGTATCAATCCCGTCGGAATGCACGAGGCGCCCAAAATAAATGTGTGCACGAACACGCTAGTTTGTACTCTGGAATTGCAGCCGAACGGGTCCTCCAACATATCCTGTGCAAATATGTTTTCTCGTTAAACGTCTCTGTCATTTGCAATTGGCAAATTTATCAAGACCCGTTTATCAAAACTTCTTCACAATTCGAGACTGAGTTATCAACTCGATTCACTGAATTTTTCTGCATTCCTTTCAATGAAATATTTGAACCTTCTAATCTGTTTGTTTCACGGATGTCACGTTCTTTGGAAGCTCGTTTTAGGCTTGTTTCAGGCTTCCTTGGGCCAGGTCAAGAAGAATTCAGTTTTTGAATAATAAGAGTTACGTGTCGTTATGGAGTATATGGGGCATCAGAATTTTAGAGGCGTGCTCAGGTGAGGAGCATGGCTAGAAAAAGATTGGGATCTTAAGAACGTAACATCAAGTAGGTATTAGTAACCTTCAAACTAGAGTCGCGATAAAGAACTTGTGGTGAATAAGTGGTGAATAAGTTAATTAAGAGCTCTAAACAACGCTTTAATTAAGAGCTCAGTCACTATCAATACTAACCCATTTATTCTCGATATTTGAAGGCTTATAAACCGCTACTCTTCAGGCAATAAAAAACTATATTTTTACTGGATTCCCTCTCACATTGGTATTACTTTTAACGAAAAAGCGGACAGTTTAGCTAAAAAAGCGTCATGTACTAATATCTCGCCAGACATATTGGTTCCATTTTCTGATTTTTCCCTTAGCTTTAAGAAGCAGGCTAAGACGGAAACAGAAAGACAGAATATCTCGGAATCTGAATTTAAGGGTAAAAAATTCTTCAAAAGCTACTACCATCCTTCTACTAAACCATAGTTTTCACGTAGAAAACTCCCTAGAAACTTTATTTGCTGGACGAACAGACTCCGAGCAGATCACGTGCAATTAGCTGCTTCCCTCTTCAAAATTAATTTAGCTCTTGATGCAAAATGTCAATGTGGCAGTTCAAGATCTCAACTATATAATTTGGCAGTGCCCCAATCTCAATGACAATAGGAATGTCTTAATTAAACTATGTGGAATGGGTTATTTTCCTCCCCACACAATGGACTTCTTTTTAAGCAAACCACATATTACTCCTCTGTTGATTATTCACAAATTTCTCAAAAGCCATGATTGGCATCTGTAACGGATCTATGTCGAGTGCTTGGCTGTGTTTTTCAGTCACTTAACAGTTCTCTTAGTTTTAATTGTAAGCTCTAGTTATAAGTATGTAAATAGCAAACATGTATCTTAGTTGTATATCAGTGTACAAAAGTCTGCGAAATTGTTTCTGCACTGTTAGTATGCACAGCAATGTGCATGCTGCTAATAATCCTGTAGAGGATTCTATACCGTAAATAAAAAAAAAAACACAATTTCCAAGTTGAGCGCAATTTTAAATCGTATGTTTACTTTATGCAAAATCCAGCTAAATGTACAACGAACAAATTTATCAAATTCTTTAGGTATGTACAAGGAACTATTTCCTCTCGTTCACGCCACGTACGTGTTTCTAAATTGCGAATTGTACATTTGCTTGGCTTGCGACGACAACATTTTAAGAAGACTCTCTTCCCCAGAGGGACTTTTAAATTTTTTTGGGGGGAGGGCGAAGGAAGTGAAATTTGCATTCGTCGGGAAATTGAGATCGTTGGCTTACCATTTGTGTGACGTTTCTGGCACTCTTCAATGTGCAAACGCTAGCTGTTTGATTGGGATACGCATCTTGGAATTCCGCGTATCTGTTGAAAAGTTCTGGCAGCCATAACGTCAGTGTGTAATAAGAGGACGTGACGAAACACGCGATCAGACACACAACGATCGTTCTACAAAGAAACGGTGGCTTCAGTATCATCACAGTTTTCGTGTATATGTCTGTTATCATCAGCTGGAAGGACTTATCGCTCACGTCCTCCTTTTCTTTGGTATGCATTATTCGGTGCACCAGGTCGTTTAAATTGTTGTTCTCGCAGTTTCGGAGCTTGGTCTGAAAACCGAATCAAATTCGTTTCTCTTTAAATTTACAATCGTTACAGTAACTTTTTATTTCATGATTCTTATGAATTGCAAACATTAGAAACATTTAGAAAGAAAAATTTGATATTTTTTTCAACTCGGCGTTCAATTTTGAGAGAGAAATACCTATTCTGGCCTATTTTAGCCTTACAAGAGAGGTCACAGCTGTTGGGTCGTCGATTTTAATGAAATTTAGTATGTCGATTCTAAAGTAAAAATAATTTGACTATGTCCAAACATTTCCGTCGATACTCGTTATTTACAGAGATATTTAATGTTTTAATTTTCTATCACAGCTACATACTTTTTTTCTTAAAGTTGGATGTAGTGATGTAGTAGTAGCGAAGCTATAGTGTAATGTATTCATACCCGGAAGTTTTAGGGTTCTCGAATCCTCCCACAGAAGAACTTTTTTTCTATTATCTCTATTTTTGCTTTCTTTCTTTTCTTTGTTTTTTTTTTTTTTTTTTTTTTTTTTTTTTTTTTTTTTTTTTTTTTTTTTTTTTTTTTTTTTTTTTTATGTAGAATACTGCGTTTTATATTTTTATAATGTCTCTAGTT